CATCCAAATCAATTACTGAAATGTTATTTTTTTTTTTTACCCACTGGTCTTCTCTTTCCTTTTTTTTCAAAAACAATTTATTTCCGTACTCACGGTTTTATCCTCGTCGCCAATGTAGCATTCGTTGTGCTATATTTGGCTCGTTCACGTACCGACACGTGTTGCCGGCTCAAAGGTCTGACATCGACTGACGTCCCCTCTCTCCGGCATGTACTTATGGCGTGTACGCTCGAGACAAACAACACTACGTTTATGCATACACTACATGCTGCTTTTTATTTAACTTACTAATATTATAAATGCGAATGTTTAGATGGATGTGATGGGGATGGATGGATGGGTGATTGAAGATATCTCTAGAGCGGCTGAACGGATCTCGATTAAATTTGGCATAAGTATAGAACATAGTCTGAAAGAACACATAGGCTACACTAATTAAGTTTTTTATATGTCCACGCAGACGGAGTCGTGGGTGACAGTTTGTAGACGATATAAAACATAGTATAAATAAGTCAAAGTAACTTATTGCTATTGACTGATTGTACGTTACTATGATTTTACATAAAATAGCTCTCGGTCTATACTTATCGGACTCGCCCCTTGTATAAACAACTAAATCCTAACATTATGCAATTAAAGGGAGTGTCGGGAGCGAGATAATATAATAATTACAAGCATACAAGGTGAACTAACATGGAAAGTGAGCGCGCAATGGGAAGTCATCTGATAGCCCGCCGTAACCCACACCGGCCATGCGATGCCTGCATTGTACATCTTCTCGCAAATACTAACGCCCTCCAAGACAAGATAGTCTTACTTTTATACCTACATCCTACACTGTTACGTGTCTGCAGTTTCTTTGGTGCTGTGTTTTCTCAACATTTAATATTAACATGTTAATTTGCCTTGTTATTCTATAAAACATTGTTAGTTCCGTCTCATCTTCGGCTGATTTAAGTTATTAATTGTTAAAATATTTTGGACATGGTGGATGGTGGTTTGGAAAATGGGAATAAAATAAGACATTATTTAACAGGTCATAATATGTTTGTATAATGGAACGTCAAATTTAATTACTAAAACATAATAAAGAATCGAATAGATATAACGCAAAAGATCGACGAATCGCACATCTGCATGTGGATTACTCTTTGCGCCCGGGGGTGAACAAACACCACCTCGTAGGCGTGGAGGCGTACGCAAGCGTATCAAGTGTCCACTGACCACCTTGACAAATTGCGCTTCCAATATCACTCTTTTACCTAAATAGTATGGTTTATTATTGAATAAATAACTTGTGCAAAGATTCTTTAGTGATTAATTCTAGATCTGGCTCAAGATTCCGTTTTTATTTTGAGTTTTGAAAATGACGCAGTCTATTTGGTGGTATATCTTTGGCAAGTTACTTAAAGGAAAAAAATTGTTTTCCAACAATTGGCCAGATAAAGTTAATCTCCACTTTATATCGCAATTTGTTTGCAGAATTTATCGTATTAAAATTATAAACGTAATGTAAAACAAAACTGACATCTAACAGTTGTTTTTTTAAAAATGGCCAAAGGCCTTATGTGTATGGCGCCAAATTTTTTTTCGCGTAAATTCCAGTAATTAATTTACATAATTTAAATGTTAAAATTATTACTAGTTGATATGTTGATAATTTGAATATTTATGAAATTCAAAACGTGGGTTGTAAATATTTCTTTATTATTACAATTTCAACCGGGCACGGCCGCGGCCGTCGGTGTTTGGTCGTTGTACAAGAGGTGTCATGTTACGGTGTCATCGGATGCGGCACCGCTGC